TTTTTATCCTTTTAACCGGGCCTGTGGCAAGGACATGTACTTTGACTACATACTGTGCACTAATCTTTCTGTACTACTCATGGCCTCCTTGTGGTTATTATCTGAAAGCAATGTCCTTTAAGACTAGTAGCATTCTGGTTCCCAATTTTGTGCCTATTTTTTGTTACACTCCAGTAATGATCTGATCTGTCACTCTCTCTCTATGGACCTTGATGTCCAGCCCAATTTTAGCCCATTCCATTCCATCCACTGTGTAGTCTCCACGTTCAGACTCCTAGATCTTTGCAGACCTTTGGCCTTATTTCACATCATTACTTCATATCTTCTTAGGTCTTCCTCCTGGCCAAGCCATCAAAGATGTTTGCTTCAAATATCTGCTTCTTAAATTGTATGCTCATAACTATGATATAATTCATTAGTTCTTATTTCTCCCCTGTCTGTTTATCAACTTCCCTTCAGAAGTTACTCTGAAGCTGTTCTTCTCACCTATTAAATCTGTAAAGTGTATCTAAACCTACATACAAAAAACTGTATTTCTCACTTTTATTTATTTCTGTTGCATGGTACCATAATTTAATATGGCAGTAATAAAACAACTTGCAAAGCTCTGCCCTGGCCACTTCCTGTTTGAGGGTGACAATGCTGCCTTTAAAGGTCTGCATGCTTGAGAAGCATTGCCATGTGGACTACAATATGACGTGCCAACACACAGCTCACCAACACAGCTGCTGTTTATTTGACGAAGGACTCCTTCAGGACTATCCATACAGTAACTTTTTTTGTGGTGAGCTGAGAAGGCAGTGCCTCTACGAACAGAAATCCCAAGGAGACTTATCAGCTTTGTCCAGTTCTCTTCTGTGAACTAAAGAACATCTAACTCCTATATTATGGAGATGGGGAGACATTTTGTAGTCCAAATTAAGAGCAAGCCGCCTCCATATATACAGTACAGTGAGTAGGCATTACCACCCTAGGATATAAAGTATGTTACTGGCAGGGTGATCAGGTAAAAATGAAGGGGAAAAAAGCCTGAAAAAAAACTAATGCTAACTAATGATCAAATCCAAGCTGCAGTGTTTTGAATTTTTTTCTTCATTTTAGATACACTTTAAAACCAGGGTCCAAAAGTAGGGCCCATTCACAATGACAGTCCGATCGGGTCCGCCTTTCAGTTTTTCAGGCGGACCCGGTCAGACCATCCATAGACCTCTATGGACCGGATGGTATTTAAATTATATTATTTTAACATTTAACATTTTGCTTTGCACAAGAGAATGAAGGCATCTATAACTTTCCAATATTCAGTCATTAGATAACAAACTTTTATAGCACAATTATATTCACATAGCCAAAAGGTTTACTGTTTTAAAAAAAAAAAAAGCAATTTCTGATTATACGTAAAATGTTTATTAATAATAAAATAATTATAGCAATAAATAAAGTGTTATGACATCAATTACATTACACAACTGCATAAAATTATATTAAGTTGCTTAACAAAATATACTACTAGTGGCGTAAAATATGTACAACATAAGGTGAAAAAAAATTGGTTTAAATTAGCAAAAAAATCAGAAAAAAGTGTACATGTGTCTGCACATGTGTATAGTAAGGGAGGCCGTGTGCCTAGTGTGCTGGTGTACAGATATGTGTATGTAATATCGTGTTCGTAAAGGAAAACAATACAATAAATAGAGCATAACATATATACAATAACAGAAAAGAAACAGTAGATATACATGTAAACAAACATTAACTTCATTCAGCCCTGCAATTTGTTTTAGTTAAAACAGTAACCATGTACACCTTGCCTGCAGTGGATGTAGATACCAGTCAGGAATGCCATTATAGCAGCTCATGTAGCTAGAAGCACTCTGCCAGTGAAGGCCAAAATTGTGGACACTTGAGATTCTGTCCGCCCTCACGTAAATCTCCAGTATTCACAGGGGCAAGAGGCAGCTGGAGTCAAAGAATTAAAAATCTTGTCTCCATCAGAGGGTCCATATTGATACAGTTATTGTAGAAACTAACATAGGCAGACATATTTGTCAAAGGCATGCTACTGTCTATTGGTCAGTGGTTCACTTGCTGCTTGCCAGACATATTAGTTTAGTATAGCCTAGACCAGGCATGTCAACATCAGAGATCTGCACCTGGTTGATAAACCGTTACATTCATCCTTCAAAGTTCTAAATAAATAAATGTGGAAGATACAGAGTTCTCACGCTTACCTGTAAATGGTGTGAAACTCAGCAGCCAGCTTTACTATAATATAGGAACAGTCCTGTCTGTGGCATTGTGGGGCCATGGCGAAGAGAAATCAGGCAGTCAGCATGCATGGTGTTTCTTGAATCAATTAATATGCACCAGGGGGTTGATTTATTAAAGGCAAATAGTCTGTGCACTTCAAGTGAAGTTGCTCTAGATCTGAGGAGAAGCTTTGAAATGAGGGGAAGCTCTTCTAATTTCTATCATCCAATCATGTGCAAGCAAAAATGCTGTGTTTTATTTTCCTTGCATGTGATTGGGTATTCTTTGCAAAGTGAAGTTTTACCTCATTTACTAAGCTTTGGAGCAACAGCACTTGCAGTGCCCAGTATATATGTCTCTAGTAAATGAACCCCATTATCTTTTCATTTGGAATGATAGACTCTCAGACTCTAAAGTCTAAGGCTAGCAATACACATATAGATTCTTCCATCCATGCTAAACAGTGTGGATGAAGTAATCTTCTCTGCTGGCTGCTGAATACCCAAATAGTGTCTGCATCTGATTTGATGCTCACTGTTTAGAAGACAATTTTGCACTCAGCTCCTTTAACAAAAGTTGATTGAAAAATATACAGTATGAATTTCAGCTGATTCAGAAGAAATTTGAGCCATATTGTATACGGTCAACTTTAAGGCTTTGTACACACTAGTGTTTTTATAGGCTGAAAAAAACATAGTAGTGTTTTCGTAGCGTTTAGGAGCGTTAATATTTTATTAGCGTTTTTACAGTACATGTAGAGGAAAGGAACGCTAGTGTACATGGAGCCTAGGACATCTGGACATTTGTTTACCCCTGCGGTAGGGTATTTTAGATTTGACAAGTATCACCATGAGTGTACTCTGTGTTGTTGACCCAGCAAGTTTAGATTCAAGGAGGTTGACAACAGGGCGTGGGATCAGAGGTCAAAGTTTAATTGAACAAGCTGAAGTCCTAAGCTGATTGGCTACCATGCATAGCTGCACCAGATTTTGCACTATCCAGTTTTAGTATATCAACTCCATTATGTATATTTACAGGGTCTACAGAGTTGAGATGCTTCTCACATGTTGTATGCTGTCTTTTAGGTGTGTCTTGCCTTCATGATGATGTCTTCAGCCATTCTAGAGATTGCTGATCTCACTGACTTCAAGCCACCACGGGCAGTGCATACATAGACTTACTGAGTGGTCACATACACAACACACACACACCTAAAGTAAACCAGTCAAGAGAAAAATATGTGGACTGAAGATGCTCACATACCTACAACTAGAGGAATTCCAACTTTTCTTTGACTTTTATTTTTTTCATACTTTCTACAGCACTAAAGATAGCCAGACTACTGGCCAGCAACAAAGGTCTCCCATTAAGTATATTTTTCTCCTGACAGGTGTAACTATGTCTACATTCACACCCAGTCATGCATACACAGATACCAACAAATTCTCATACACCCACACAAAAATACACAATGGCAGCAATGTTCATCACATAAAGATAAGGAAATACATCCTTGTAATAAAGAAATAATAGCTATGTATGATGCATACTGAGGTGATCTGTTGAACAAGACATTCATTGTTTTCTATGGACTCAACTTTTTTTTAGACATGTTAAATATTGTACAAAGTGTTGAAAGCACAACACTGACAAAATTCTGTACTGACTATGAAAGTGGATATGTCCAAGCTTTTATGTTTTAAACACCTTCAGTTTGATTTCACTGGATTAAAGAGGAGATTGAAAATCATAGAACATTCCTAGGATTGAGAGCAGGACACAAAATAACTGGAAAACTTGACTATGGGCAAAATATTCTAAAGTGAAATAATCTCCCATAAACTAAAAAAGTTGCTCAGGCTACAAAAGACACCTTTAATCTGGAGTTATCCCTTCCAGTAATACCTTTTCACCGCAAGATGTCCTGAGACTTTTGGGTTGAAAGACTGTAGGGAGCACGTGAGTGCAGGGCATCATGGGCCCGCATAGCTTCAGCAGCCTTCACTCACAGTGTGATTATGCTCTCTGCATTATTAAGGACCACCTAGAAAGGTACATTATGTGACTAGCCCAATAACATATACATATATATATATATATATATATATATATATATATATACACATATACATATACACACACACATAACAAATTACTATGGGGGACTCCGGGAGGGGATAGGAGGTTGAGCCCTGGGTTGGAGTATCTGGAGTACGGTCAATTGCAATATAAATATGTTTTATAATTACTGATGATTATGCAAAACACCTGTATTTAGCAAATGCTAGCTAGCTTGCATAAATATGTAACCTTCCTCTTCTTGTCAGTAAAACGTCAGAGGCTTACAATTAAAGTATTATTGTGATGGAATGGTAGCTTATTATCCTAATTAGACAACACTCAACATCAATTTAGCTACAACTGAACATTTAAGGTTGCTTGTGTTTAAGAAGTTAACCACCACATAAGTACATCATAATATCAGTTTGATTTGACAACTGATCAGTTCAAATGCTATCTCATGCCGGCAATGTATATAAATGAAATGGTCTGAATGGGTTCTTAGATGATGTTGGTTGTATGGTGCTCTGTCTCCTTAGGAATTTGAGATTAAGCGACTGAATCTGAGAATGTACTTCAAGCGAAGCATTGCCCCTCTTTTATGGTAAATGCCTTGGAATGTCCACAGAAAAAGGTATGACAGGCTTCTCAATGGAAGGATGCTAGAGAATGTTGGTGGAAACACCTTTTCACCTTCGGATGTCTGTTGAACCGACCAGTTTTTCAGAACTCTCTGTAGCACTAAATGCTATTTTGTTGCTTATGGGTTTTCCACGTATGTTTGACTGCACTTTGTTGTTTTTTTCATTTTTGGTGGATTTAGCACTTTCTCTTTCCAAGTCAGACTGCGAAAAAGAGTCACTCTGACTACGCATGATTTTGCCTGTGTCTCCTTTGATTGGGTCCCCTTGCTTTTTGGCAGGGGAGGCGCTAGATCCAGTCGTACCATCACCTTGCATAGCAGAAGTGCAGAAGCTTAGAATGTAACAAAGGCTTCCCCAGTTCTGAGCACACTGAGCTTGTACACTGCGAGTGATTGCATCTTTCACCTCATCCCCACAGGTAAGCAAAATGTTTACTAGATCAACATAGGGCCTAAGGAAAGAACACAATAAAACATTAGGATAAATCTGAAGCAGTAAAAACTGGGATTTTAACAATTTCATATTTTACCCACAACTGAAAAAAGTTTGGTTTTATATATTCTTTAATAAACCCTTTGCCTTTTTACAGTAACAAAATAATTAATGAAAAATAGATTACAGGGCCATTGAGTAGTGGACGTGTATTGATTATTTTTGCAGAATAAGGATATTGTTTAATGCCACTTTAATTATTTATCTATCTATCTATCTATCTATCTATCTATCTATCTATCTATCTATCTATCTCAGTGGTTGACAGATATTGGGGGTCTCCAAAATAGCATCTGTTGTCCCCAAAGTGCTGTACATAAATTTAAATAATACAGTGAAACAGTAAAGAAAGTCGTTTCTATAATTAATTAATTGGGAAACTTTAAACACTTGTACAAAAACAGGTTTCACCAGATTTGGGAATTTTCATTAGCACCAGATGAATTTTTTCAGGGAAAAGTAAAACAGACACTTCTATCTTCTACTTCTAACTGCCGCATATAGTCAGCTTTCTTTGGTTCCAGGATATTCCACTGATAGGATCAGGGAAGAAGCCCCATGGAAGCTCCAAGCTGATATGTAAGCATTTACACAGAGCTATAGACTCCTTTGCTCTCAAACATGATATCCCTGGGCCAATCCTGAGATACAAAGTTTCTGCATTGGAGAGGTGGAGTGAGTCACATGCTCTCCCATACATACCATGTCATTTATATGATTAATTTCCTATACCGCACATGTGAATTCAAGAGATGAAAACAGTGTGGCTATGTCAAAACACATAAAAGTTTTTTTTATGGCCTACTATCTCTTAATAGTGGAATGCTTGGAACAGTAGTTTCTCAATAGGACTTATATTGGACCTGTAAATCCCCAATTAGGTTTGGGTCCCTCCTGTGTAGTAACATGAAGAATCCCCTATCCACATAGCTCCTGAGTCTTCTTAAAGCAAGCAGTCTGGTGTAGCCTACTATTGTGGGGAGTTTATAAAATCCTTTGATTTTTTGTGAGAAACACTTTATTACACTGTTTAGATTCCACCTAAGTATTGAAAGTATTGGGAGGGTAGCACTCTGTTTTGTTCAACAGAAAGCTGTGAGAAGGGGGATCCCTAAATGATACTATGAGCATGGGCCCAATTCCAATTCAGGACTTTCAATTGTACATGAAGTAACTCAATGTCCTCCTCAAAGTTGGATGTACACTTTCTAAGCAAAGGCGAATGAATAAATGTTATTACATTACAGCTGTAAACTTCTTTCTATATTCACTGTCCACTTGAGCCAGGAGGGGCTGTTATGTGGGTAGACACAAGAAATAACAACTCCATACTCCACTCTCACTTGCATGTCATTTTTTTATGAACCTTGTTTGGATAGGGCAGACATTCCCAAGAATGCACCACTGATTCCTATTACACATTTTGTAACACAGAGCAGCATCAGTTGTAAACTATGCTGTGGAAATTACAGATAAAACAGAACTGAAGTCTGAAAATAAAAACCTACTATGAGGTAGAGTTTTTTTGACCAAAGAGATATGCAAAATCTCTTTTCCCTGTCTCCTGGCATTTTTTTGTACACTGCCTCATTCTTGGCATCTGAAAAATGCCGAGCATGGAACTAGGTGCTGGAAATGATGTAACTTCTGTATGCACGCACAGGAGTTACATCTTCATTGGCCACTCAATGGCCAAATAGGAGATGTGCAGGACCTGGAAGAAGCAGCCAAGAACCTGGACCTGCCAGCACTCTGTTGTTAAAGTCAACATTAGTAAGTGATGATATAAAGGCTTCTGTGCTAACTGAATTACGACTTGAGGAAAAACTTGCAGTTATTTCTGAATCTCTTTTGTTACTTACTGAATTATTACGATTCCAAATTGTGATTTTTTTTTTTTTTTTTACAGCAACCATGTATAAATCACTTTGAATGTGTTTTTGTGTTAATATGCTAGCATTCCTCTGTTTTTAAAAAAAATTATTATGGAAAGTCATTTTTATAGAAAAGGGTAGTTGTGGCAAATTGTGGATGACTTGATTCTATTCTAAATGTCAGTTTTGTGCTCCTGGCTACAATACCTTTCACACGAGGAATTCCAGAACTAAAGGCCGCAAAACGCCCCTGGCAATGCTGCAACACTCTGACCATCATCACTTACTCATGTAACAGGAGGTCTTTGAAGTGAATCATCTCCACAATCACTTGAACATTATCCTTGGCAGCAGAGCAGAGGTCGTGCTTGGCGTAGCATTCCTTCTGGAGCTGGTATACCATCTCTTTAATAGCTGGGCACTTACGACTGATGCAGCTGAATTTGTGTCTCAGTCCATGAGCTTTGCATTTCAGTGCATCCTTGATAAATGATTTCCCCTGGAAGTAAGAGAAAATAATACCTTTGGCTAAGATCTGCCATTTACTCATAATAGTTATGCATTACTTTTCAAAAAAATTAGGCAAAACAAAAATAATGGTTTGGATCACTTTAAAGCATTTGTGTTGCAGTACCATGGAATGGAGCATGTGTGCTGCTGAATCAGTGGTCTGATCAGGTCCGCTTGTCCATTTTTCAGGCAGACCCAATTGGACCCTCCATTCTCCTCTATGGGCAGTCAGATGTAAATGGAGTTGTGTTCATTTACACCCGGCTACCTCCGATCTGGCAAAAACAAATGGAAGGGGGATTTGTTCCCCTCTGCCTGGCAGTCGAGTGTAAAGGGACTCCCGGTCTGTTTACATCTGACTGCCCATAAAGCAAAGCAGGCTGTGTCTGTGGCCACTCTGCAAAAGCGGAGCAGACATGGACTTGTCATCCGGCTGCTCCGCTCATCTCAACAGCATATGGATCTCCTGCTATGCAAAGCCAGATCCGGCCTATGTAAGGGGCCCAAGGCAATGGACCTGCTCTAACAAGCATTGTGGTGCGCTATGTACGTAAAACAGGCCAGATCTGGTTTGGTACACTGGCTGTCCATTCTAAATGTATGGGGTGCGTGCGTTAATGCATCACAAAGTCATGAAGGATTTTGTATGTTTTTAATCTCATGTTTTATATCTTTATTGTTTTTAGAATGTACACAATATCTTTATTTTAGAAATAAACATTTATTACAGGAGACCCATGACACAGAAGCATTAGAAATAAGATCCTAGATATTAATTTGCTGGCTGGACATGAAAATACTAAATATTTATATTCAATAATTCCTGTTAGTTAAATAAAAAAGAACAGTTAAAAAACTATTCCTACTCTATTACATATATTATGGACATGTAAAAATATTAGAAGCTATTGGTATAAAGTTTTCCATATGATATCGAAAATTACTGGAATATTAAAACAACCAGATCCTACCCTAGCCATTCTGAATATAAATATAGATACATATCCAATCCATTATCAACTCTTAGTGCCACATATACTCCTAGCATCAAGACTTACCATTACTAGACACTGGAAAAAAGACTTCTCTAAAAAAAGCCCCTTCTCTAAAAGAAGTCATTGAGCTAGTCCAGACCCACTTCATCTATGAGAAATCTTTAGCTTACCTAAACAATAGATTTACCAAATTTGACAAAGCTTGGAAACACTGGTCCGTCTGGTTCAGAGCTGTAACCTAAGATTTTATTATGTTTAACCTTTTTTTTTGATACTCTAAAATTATTTTTTCGTGGAACTAGTAGGATTGTTAGGAATTATTACATTTTTCCTTTTTTCTCTTTATTAAACTTTACCGCAGCACCTATACTGAGATATTGTGTAGCTTTTCACTGTCCTATTTTTGTTTTTTGTTTTTTTTTGCTGTTGTAACTATATTTGTAAAACCAAATAAAAATGTATTATGGAAAAAAAATATTCCTTACCATAACAAAGAGCAAAAATATATGGAAAAGCACACGTTCCTTTTACATTTACTAGATTAATATTTTATGCTTAGAGACAAAAGATATAGGAAAAAAAAGTTTACATAACTGTTTTCACATAACCATAGTTTGCTGCTCCTGTTTAAGTTACAGCATAAACAATTACCAAATAGCATCTATTAACTGACTGTGGCCAAACAGTAAAATTGCCAAAAAATACTTCTGTGACGAAGGTTTTAGTTCAGAATATTTGTAAACATGTTTTCATATTTTCCTAAATTAATATTTGTACATGTAAATATTACAAACTCATAAGGTTTAGAAAACAACTGTGTGAATACTGGAAGTGAAGCTTAGCAGTGGGGGAAGGGCAACACTGAACCGACAGTCTCCTGTAGCATTAAAGTGGAAAATGTCCTGTCCACATTCTTGCCACAGAGTTGCACACTGGTCATATGGGTAAAAATAAGTAAACTAATGGAATTCCACTGGTTTTCAGATTATTTCAGCAGTATGAATTGCATACAGGGATATACTGTATATTAGAATAGCTCTTCATGACAATAATTCTCTCATCTATGTCTTGAATAAAGCTACTTATAGACTGTAGAGATTGTAATAACAATTAGACCACTCTCAAGCAAAATAAATTGCACAGTAGGTCTTTTGCAAGCCTGGCTTGACTAAGCAAATAGTGTAAACTTAATAAAAAGGAGAGTGGAGTGGGAGCGGATTCATTAGAGAGGCAACAAATGCAATTGGAGCAGGTTTTCTAACTATTGCCATAGAAGGCGGTGGCTGGCAATCCCAGGACCCAACCACAGGTATTAGAAAACAGATTGTCAGTCAATCCAGCTTTTTTCATCAGTTTATAACTGTTGGAACTTCTTTGCTTAGAATGATAAATTCAGTGGCAGATCAATGCTATATATTATGTTCATATATGTAGGACTGAGATGATAATAGCCTGATGAGCCTCAAACTGTGTGAACAGAATGGGAGAGTCATACTCAAAACAATGCCACCCTCATTTTTCCCAAAATGCGCAGGACTGTAACAGATTTAAATTTAATGTCTGTGGTGGGCAGTCAGAGAAGGCAATTAATAAGCCATAGACCAGCTTGGCGCACCTTTTATAAAACACAGCTTAGTTTAGAGTGTTAGAAAACTCTATTCGCCTATTTTTACCTACAAGTAAGCCTTTAATAAAGCTTAACTGTAGATAAAATGAATATCTCCTAAACGTGCACTGTTTTGGAAATATTCCAGTGAGCAGCAGCCGATGAGGTCACTGGCATACCCGTGCCTTTCCTTCAGAGTTCTGTGCCATAAACCATGATCCCCGTGCACATGTGCGAGAGTGATGTCATTGAGGTTCAGCCATTCAAGTGGCCTTGGCCTGTGAACCCGGAAGTAAGAGCGGGAGAAGATGGAAGCCTCTGCAACGGTGATAGCATATGGCTGGAGGGCTTTGTTTTAAAGTAAGTCTCTCATAACGTGCTAGTATGCGATGCATACTAGCACATTATGATATTACCTTGTAGGGAGATTTTTTTTTCTTTTATTCAGAAACTTTACTACCACTTTAAGAAACATTTTAAATAAAGCAGGGGTATAAAAAAACCCTGCTAGCAAGGTCTTTAAAAGACCTCTAAATTATACCCTGTAATAAATGGTCAGGCCGCAAACAGTCTGCTGAATAGTTTCAACAATATACATCTGTGAGCCTGGTTTTTGTACTACCAAAGCTAACTCTATTTTTAATTCATAACTCCTGTTGTAATGGAGTTACCTTAAAAAAGGGGTCACACTAATGTATGGGAAGATGCTAATCAGTTAGACATGAAACGTGCCTATATTACAGGGCTCAGAGGGCAGATGGGACACATTCCTCCTTTTAAAAGAGACATTCATAATATCCATATGATGTATGATGTCTTACAAATCGCAGTTTCAATCTGTTTAAGAATATGTTGGATGTTGGATTATGAAAATTTGTCATCTGGAAATATAGATGTATTAAAGCATATTAACTTAATAACAAACACTTATCGACACACCCCTCAGACTATTTGATTAAATGTGATTAGATTTGGTTCACCCACTTAGAAAAGCTACAGCATTTGATAGTTCAGAGATCTCCTAATAATCCAAGCATTAAAAGATACTTTATAACCAACCTGTCAAGGGTAAAGGGATGTGATACTAATACATTTAAAAACTCCTCTCTCTAATACCTCTCTTTTCCATCCCCCGGGTAGTGTTGCAGCATCGGTTTCTGTTTTTAAAGACCTGGTATGTAGAGATTTAGAACATCTTAAATTAAAAAAGCCCAAGTTGGATCTTAAGTTTAAAAAGGGAATGGAGGCTTTGAAGTCACAAAATGATATAGCGGTTCACCCCGCTGACAAAGGAAGGGGGGTATCATCATTTTAGATCGTGAGGCTTATTATAATGAGCTTGATAGGTTACTTTTGGATAGAGATACCTATTCTCCTTTGAATGGGAACTCTACGGCTAAATTTAAAAAGGAACTACAAGGTGTGGTTGAGGTAAGTTTTGCCCAAAAGATTATTACCACAAAAAAAAAAAGTCATTTTTGATTCCAGTAGCACCTCATGTGCCAGTTATCTACTATTTGCCTAAGATACATAAAAGTCTATCTAACCATCCAGGAAGATCGATTATCAGTGGTATTGACTCGGTTACCTCAAAATATAGACTCTTTTTTGCAACCTGTGGTATCCACTACCCCTTCATTTTTGAAAGACACCACCCAGGTGATTAATATATTGAATTCTATTGAGTGGAAGGATAATTACATTTTAGCCACAGCAGATGTAGCCTCTCTCTATACTATTATCTCACATGAACACGTGAAGGAAGGCTGTAGATTGTTTCCTTCAGAGGGATGTCACGTTGAGGGGATTACAGTGAGATTTTATTCTCTCTTTATTAGATTTTGCGATGGGTCACAACTATTTTTGGTTTAAGAGCCCATATTTTTTGCAAAATAGGGGGGTGGCTTTGGGCGCAAAATTTGCGCCCAGTATGACCAATTTATTTATGGCCAAATGGGAGGAGGACGTCATCTATAAGGTGCGAAGGCCTGAGTTAGTGCTTTGGAAAAGATATATAGATGACATCCTCCTTCTTTGGGAAGGAGATTTTGATTTCCTTGATCGATACATTGGTCATTTGAATTTGTATGACCGAGGTATTATCCTCCAACATGAGGCTAGTAAAAATGAGATCCACTTTTTGGATCTCGCTATTAGGGTTCAAAATGGGGAGATGGTGACCTCTACGTTTTTTAAGGAAACAGACCGTAATGGTTACATTGATGTTAAAGTCTGGCATCATGGTGCCACAAAAGGAATTGTACCCATTGTGATGATTTTTTGCAGGAGGTTAACTTTCTAAAACAGCGTTTTCTTGATAGGGGTTATAAATCTGAGGCCTTAGAAGAGGCCTTCCTTCAAGTTCATGCTATATCATGGGATGATATGCTTTGACCAGGTTGATTCTTCTTTTAATTAAGCATTTTGCACTACGTATGCAGGAGTCTCCCGGTCCTTTAAAGAATTTCAGATGCCGGAGGCGGGGCAGGGTTTTAGGGTCATGTGACCACCGTGATTCGCTGTCATGGAAGTTACATGATCGAAAAAGGTCCCGATCGCAAGGGGAGATTGGGACCTTTCCTTGAGACACCAATATATGTGCTGGGAGCGCACAGGGTGCGTGCTCTCAGCACATATGTGTTTTCAAACGGTATGCCAAACTTGCAGCCGCTCGCCGTCAAGGCCCAGTCGCCGAGAGGCCACATATTTGCGTACAGTCGGCGTCAAGGGGTTAAGCTTGCCCCCACCCAATCTCCTGTGCCTTCCTATTGATTCTATAATGTGATGGGTTGTCTCCTGCACCAATACAGCAGTTTGGTGCATGACAAGGTGACTGCTGGACTACACCATATGTCTTTCCAACTCCTATATTTTGACGACGCTGATAAAACGTTTCTGAAAGAACTTAATTTTTTAGACTTATGCAATGGTACACATTTAGTAGTGTTATCATTATATTACCTGAGCATCAAATCGGCCAGCATTATGCAGGAAAGTCATGCAGATCTCATGAAGACCGCGGATCTCACATGAGTTGTTCTCAAAGCATTCAAAGACTCCGCATCCCACATCACCAGCGCTGACTAGACAGTGTTGAATTTCAGCTGTTATGGTAGAGAATATTAAAAAACAAACTGTTATAGTTTATGTGTACGCTCTAAAAAATACATAAATAATAATGATGATAGTAATCATCGCCAGAGTAGCATGTTTATTTCCTTTTATCATAAACACTGTCATTATCATTATTGTTGTCTTGATGTCGGCATAACTTTACTTTCCCAATCAGGCATAAATATACTGTACATTTTAGCACTTAGGTCTGCAGTTATCAAGAACAGTTATGTACTATGTGCCATTATCAAATCAGAAATTCCTCCTGATGAATCCTGCCTGCTGCTGCAATTCTGAAGTTTTTTCCTGATGAATTCTGCCTACTGCTTCAGTACTTAAAGTGTGAGTCAAATTTCTTTATAGTTTTGGATAAAATGGGGAAGGATTAGAACTCATGAGTTTATTTCTGTTAGAGGCGTTTAAACTTGTTCAGGTGAGAATGGTTTTGAAAAAAAAAATGTTTGGGTGGACATACATTTTAAATTCTAAAACATGGATCCTGCTTACTGCTCAAGTTGTAAAATCCCTCATTATGAACCCTGCCTATTGCTTCAGTCTCCTACTTCATGCTGATGGATTTTGCCTACTGCTTCAGCCCCATAATTCATCCCAGTGAATCCTGCCCACTGTTTCAGTAATTCCCCTTGATGTATCCTGCCTACTGCTCCGGCTCTGTAGTTCCATTGTTATTATACATACAGTATATGAAAAATAGACTTACATGCTATTGTCTTACTCCATCACTACAGGTTTAACTTTTGCCTGGCCACTAATAGTCATCATCAATAGACCCTTCTAGGATAATTTAATTATCAGATGTGTAAAAGTATTTGTGGAACAGCGTCACCAGTGTAATGATGCATTCATGGTTTCTGAAGCTTGGTGATAACAAATTCCTCTGCCCTTGAAAGCCTGAAGTAACTTGAAACACGTTCAAATTCTCATGTTACTTTTAAACACTTTCACCATCCAACTGCATCATTGCTCGTTTCAGTGATGCCAGTCATCATCTGATCTATTATTTAGGATGTAACCGAAGCACTGTCTATGGGTGTATTACATTTCTCCTCTTATTTTAAATCAAATTATTAGCAATGTGTGTATTAGTGTGGAAGTAAAAAAAAATTAGAAGTAACAAGGCCTGGTAACAGAACAGGTAATCAGCCCAGTGATCATAGAGGGAGTAACTGAAACTTACAGTTTACTAAACAGGTGCAAAGGTAGAAGCAATAATGCAAAACAAAAAGTCAGTATGGCACTGTGCAGCATAAAGGCACCCCCACACTTCCCCCCCCCCCCCTTGTCCATGGAAAAAAACATATCTCTCCCATTGTGCTCACTGAGCTGTACCGCTACTGGATATGACCCATTCAAAAGAATGGGGATGTGCCACAAATGCCCCACATGTGCGTGCAGTGCATGTGGTTATGTAGTATTGGCGTGGCTTTTACGGGGGCTAAAACAGGAGGTGAGGCATCATCTGAAAACTGATCCCCGAGAGGTAGCAGTTTAGAGGCAAACTTAGCCTGATAAAAAAAAAAATATATTATGAAAGCTGCACAAACGTGGAATCTTCACAGCAATGTCCTTGTGGCTCAATTAGGGTAATGTGGATGCATAGCAAAGTCTGTACAATACTCTGTAGAGAGTTTAGCTGAACATACCATTAAAGTGGTTGTAAAGTACACATTATTTTCCCTCTAAAATAATAGACATGGCATACTTACCTTCTCTGTGCAATGGTATTGCAAAGAGCAGCTTCAAACCTCCTCTTCCATTGTCCCATGCCTCTAGGGTCCTCCTCTTCTGCTGTCACTACCATAGCAAGCTGCTTGCTATGAGGGCACACGTGCGTTCTTGCTTCTGACAAACACAGCTTGGCTCCGCCCCCCCCCCCGCTCCCTCCTCATATGATTTGACTTGAGGAATCAATTGGTCCTCCTGCCGCCTCTGTATCCTGGGACCAACTGCAGACTGACACAGCACTGGATCAAAATAGGACTCAGATAAGTATGGGGGGGGGGTAAAATGACTAGGACATTTTTTTCCCTTAATGCAGGGAATGCAGTAAGGTATAAAATGTTCTGCTTTTAGCAGTCCCCTGCTTTCATTTGACCCATCTTAATGCTGTCCCTCACTGTGATGTCATCACACATTTTCAGCCATCTGGAGCTTTGAGAGGACCTGGCCACTTCAAAGCCAATGGGAAATGTTCATGTCATGCAGACAGCGGCATGAGCGCCAGAAGAAGAACCCTCCCACTCAGCAGTTCAGAAGAGAGAAGACGTGCCCATGGACCACATTTTTAGGTAAATATAAGGGGCTTTTAGGTAATATTTATATTAAACTTAGAGATTAGTCAGAGGAGAATGGAATTAAAGGGTAATGGGAGGGCGGTTCCAGTCATGAGCTTGAAGTCTTAGAAGGAGATTATGTGTTAGGAATAATCGCTCCTGTCTCCAAAATGTAATTAACCACTAATCATTCATTTGAATTTGACTCTCAGTTCTCCCACCTGACAAGAACCTTTTTTTTAATGTTTTGAACTGGAAAATGGTTGCCCAGCCTGGCGACTCATTAATGTAAGTATAAACTACCATTTTATTAAATTTTACTGTAACACACTATGGCATATATCCTACAGGAAAAACTGTACTGTTTATTTGTGATATGTATCTATAATGGTCACATAAAATACCCATTGTAAAAAAAGCTACGACCTACTCTGTGAATGCTATTTAAACTACCTGATGCTGATAACTGCCAGGTACTTTCTCTGTAGCAATACATAGGTACACTCTGCTGGCAATACACTTTGTGGGTGTAATTTACAGGCTGCATCACCAGTATCAATTGAAGTAATACATTACCAATCCATATCGCTATTTCTTAAGCATAGTGTTCGTTTCTGGTCCATATCCACATAATACTTGGATACAGGTGAAAGGACTACTTTACCTGGGATTGGGTAAGAGGTCTAAAGGAATCTTTACCAGTAGGGATGTGCTGGGTTTGTTCTGAACTCCTTCAAAACCCAGTTTAGCAGAACACATGGGAAGATGTAGTTTATGGCATGAGCATTCCTGTTCCTTTGTGTTCGTGCAGCTGTGGGGCTGGGAATGCCTCAGCCTCATCTGATTGGGCCAGTGGGGAAGCAATCATTCCAAAATAGAGGGCTGATGCATGTGGGCATAATGTAACTAAGTCCCATAAGAAATGCAATAATACAAAACCAAAAGAAGTGCCCAAGGGACTTTGTGAGCAGCAACAAAGACGGTAAAAAAACCTTACATTTTATTGAAAATAGACATATTAAAAAAAGCTCAAGCTAGGTATAAAAACCTTAATAAACATAAACAGAGTGATCATATACATATGTGTGAGTAGTTACAAATATATTCAACATCTTAAATGTTTCAGGGTAGGAGAACGCTTGCACAAATCTTGACACGTTTCGTGAGACATCGCTCACTTCCTCAGGAGATTTGAGAACTCATGAATGTTTACAGGGAAACCAGGTTGTTAGTAAAAAAAAAAAAAAAAAAGGAGAAAGAACCATCTGTTTGTTGTGTCTCACAAAGTCTGTTGGGCACTACTTTTGGATTTGTACTATGTGATAGCTTCGTACAGGTTCTGCTGAATTGGGTTTCATACAGAACCCAGCATCCTTGTTTATCTGATGAAGGTTGATGAAAAATTACACTGGTGCTGTCTATTTTGATGGGTAAGGAGTTTATTCAGACAGATTTGGAAAATTACAGAAAGGTCCACTTTGGCTAGGTCTGAGTAGGTCTAAGCCAAGGTACGAATATGCTCCCACAATGCCATGAGATCTTTTCCTGTTATGATAATCTGTGCTGTCAATCAGCAAGACACAATGAACTGTAGAAGACTTATAAAGGGCTATTGAATGTGTCTGGTACTGTGTTTGATTATTAGCTGCTCTGCCATTGCCAGGAAAGTTATATTTTTCAATTTCAACAAATCTTTTTAATTCGTAATTTAACCACAGTGCATTTTTTCATGGTATTAAAAGTATTCTTTGCTTAGTTGCCCATGGCCATACATGGCCTATTTTTTTAAAGTAATGTGCTTGATTTGAGCATCATTTGCAACAACTTGTAACAGTCCACTCCATAATGATAGATATAATTTCTGTGTATGGGAAGAGTTTGCAAATTCACACAGATTTCCAAGATATTAAACAGTCTAGTGGACTTTCACTGATCAACTTTCACACCAGAAAAGAAAAAAAATCCCATCACTGCATGCATGCTGCATTTAAACTATGACTAAGCTGGAAAGATTGGGCTGCTTGCTATCAAATGTGATCAGAATGATCACTGCCTGCTTTTCTCTGTGAAAAATGTGTCAAACGATGATCTAAGGCATGTGACCTTAATAACACCCCAGGCAAGAGAGCTTGAAAAAAGCAAAGTCATACAAACTGGTCAGATATCACCAGGATCAGTACAGAATCAACAGACAGGACTGGATGTAGACTCCATGGCAAGATCAAAACCAGATGTCATGAGAGACAGTGCAGATGCTAAATCTGATACCAAAGACGCAACTAGTAAAAAAGCCCAAAATCCATATCAGTTCCATATAAGGGTAGACATCAAAACCACAAACCATAATACACCCAACCTCAGCTGTACAAGAGTACCTTCAGTCATGCACGTGTAGAAAGAAAGCTACTCATACCTTTGGTCCCTGAACACGGCAAGTCGAGTCAACAGGGACACTTGGCATTCTAAAATGTATGACATGACAAAAGATTCAAAATAAAAAAAATGTTTCCTATAATATAAACATATTTTCACCTAAAATACCCAGTTTACAAAATAAACTCAGACTTCCCTCATTTGAGGATGAGGATGAGGTCGCCTCTAGCTCCGCTGTCCTAAGTCACGTCACATAACTGAAGAAGTATCTAAGTAACACAAATGTTTTGAAAACATCCCTCTTGTCCTTCATGCTTGGCTGT